ATGTGCGTGGCGCTGAAGCGAGAGCCACATTTTGAAACTGACTTATGCTCCATCCTTGTAACCGCTGCAAGCTTTCGAAGCGAATGTGCGCGACGTTCGGGCGAGAGCCCACTTTACAAAACGACCTGGGCGAATGTGCGCGGCGCTACGGCGAGAGCCCTGTCTGGAGTTTCACCCGTGTAGATATTGCGATATTTAAGCGTTGTAGTCATGAGCAATGAGGAGGTCTCAGGCGAAACGGCTTGTCCACCCTACTGGCACGTCTGCCGTCTGGGGGTGCGACAGAGGGGAGTGATTTGTGAGACGAAGGGACGGAGCAGGAAGATGAGGATGACCAGTGTGAGCCCAGGGTGCGCCAGTGATGCGTCCCAGGTCCCCGTTTCACAAGCCCCTACGAGCAATACGTGTCACCGCGGGAAGCGTCCCCTCTCAATACAACTGCCCAACGGGCCTGCCCTTCAGGCGGGAGCACCGCTTTGAAGTCAAGCTGCTCTGCGCCTTTCGAGCAAGATGGCATGCTAAGCAATAGGGCCGTAAAGCCCCCCAAAGGATCCAGCGAGAGCCCTGGCTTGAAAAAGAGCCGACCTCGATCGGTGCAACTGTTTCGGAATGTTCCACATCGGCCAGCAAGCTTGATGAGGTACCAGCTCCACTGGAAAATGAGCTGCCCTCCGTCCGTGTGGCTGTTGCATTACGGTGTTGTTTTTCACACATGCAGAGGTCTGGAGCGAGATCCCAAAGTCGAAAAAGAGCGGTCCTACATCATTGCAGCCACATTTGATATACGACACACCCTCCATCGGCGAGTCTGTTGGAACCTTTCATAGCGAATGTGTGCGGCGCTAAGGCAATACCCACGGCTTGAAGCCACCGCCTTCAATCGTCAAAATCGTTCGAAGTTTTTACGACGAGTGTGCGCGGCGCTGAGTCAAGAACCACATGATGAGAGCCACCCGCCTCCCCCCCACCCTCACATCGTCTGGAAACGCTGCGAAGAGTCGAGCTGACACAACGCGATGCTCACGTTTCGAAATCCATCCGCCTCCGTTCAGCACGGGGAAGAAGAGAGGGGAAGCCGAGAAGGCGAACAAAGAAAGAAGACAGCAGGCTGATGCAGCGCAGTGCTCGCGCATGCGTAGCCCTGCCCCACGGTCGACGCCACAGGTGGTGCCCGCACCACTGCCCAACGCGAGACGAACATAAAGCAGCCTGAGCAAAGCCACATGCCTGGGCAGAGGGGCGACTCAAAGTGAGCGAGCGCACAATGCGACAGGCAAGTAAACTGATGATGGGTGCAAGCATACGCCAAGATAATGACATGGAGTCGGGAGGGCACGGCGGTGCCCGGCAAGGAGCCGCTGCTCCACAGCGCTGGAGGGCGAGCCTGCGCCGAAAGAGCGGCCCAGGGTCGGCCAGCAGCGGCCGCGAAACACCTGCGCGCCAAGCCCGTGCAAACAGTGTCATCCCAACCTCCTGTGCGCCAAGCCCGTGCTGTCCTTCCGGGCGTCTGGCTTCTGCTCGAGCACCCCCGGTGTAATTCTGGCCTGGCTCGCAGGACGCTGTATTCCCTTCTCTAGTCTCTGGCCCGCCCGGTTCATTTTCACATTGCGTGCGCGGCAAATTCATTCCCAGTGAGTTCTTTTGCTCTGCCAGATCTTCCAGGACTGCTGCATGTTGGGGTGCTTTCATCGTGTTGAGGGGGGAAAACAAATCCATCCGCCCTCAGTTCATGCAGCTGCTGGGCATTCTCGATACAAATGTGTGCGGCGATACGGAGACATCGACACTTTGAGAACCGCCCAGTTTTCCTCCACGTGACACGCGGACAAAAACAATTTCAAGGCCAGAAGTGGTGAGGAAGTCTCAGGCGAGCCGCCCGACCTGCCTACCAACACGTCTGGTGGTGCGACGGGGGGGTTATCTATATAAGGAAGATGGGTGGGAGGTAGAGAGAACGAGAGAGAGAGAGAGACGGAGGAGAGCCTGGGGAAATGCGAGGAGGAAAGAGAGCAAGGCTGGTGAAAGGACCAAGGAGAACGGGAGAGAGGAGGAGGGGGGAGGGCGCTACCCCGATCTCTGCTCCCCAGATGGCTTCGGCCAAGTTCGCCAGGATGTCTGGCCGTGGGGCCTGGGGATCCTTCATGGGCCCGACAGGGTCCCTTTATACAGTGCCTCCAGCTCACAGTCAATGTTGCCCGTCTAGGCCTCCTAGATGGGGTCCGAGTAGGTGGGGTTGGAGGATCGCGCCGCATCGCCAATGCATCGCCGATGCGGCTTGATGTGGAGGCCGATTTGCTTCACGTCGACGTCGCCGATGCATCGCCGATGTCGACTTTGCATCGCCGTTGCGTCGCCGATGTATCGCCGATGCGTCGCCGATGTATTGGCGATGCGGCGCGATCCTCCGGCCCCGTCTTCTCCGACCCCATCTAGGAGGCCTGGGGATCCTTCATGGGCCCAGCGGGGTCCCTTCATTCAGCTCGTCCCGGAGGTTGATAGACCTCCTACCTGACACGTCGATTAGCGAATTGGCCGTTTTCGGTTCGCGAGAGGGCGTCGCGGCCGTCATTTTTGCGGGTGCAGGTCCGTCGGTTTCGGTCCTAGGCCGTTTTCAGTAAAGGGTTGTTTGCTAAAGGGAGGTTTGTCCACCGCCGATCGTCCAGCTCACAGTCAATGCTGCCCGTGCGTGCGACCTCCAAGCGTGCGCCAGGGTCGTCGACAGAGTCACTGCGCTCAACATATGCACGTGCCAGCGAGAAGCACTCTGAGTGGCGACCACTCTGCGTGGCGACCTCTCGTCTCCACTTTTTGAAAAAATGAAAATGAAGACACCTCCTCCGCTTCTTGAGGCACTCTCCAGTGGACGAGTTGCACCACCTGGGGGGCTGTCTTGGACTCCGGTTGCTATCTCTCCGTCTTCGGCTGCGATGTTTCCGACTCCGGCGCCCGCCATTCTGGCCACGGTTCCCGGCTTTGGCTACCATCTCTCCGACGCCAGCTCCCATCTTTCCGAGTCCGGCTCTCGTGTCCACGATTTTCGCTGCGAGATATGTCCGATTCCGGCTCGGACTGCGACGTTCACCTCTCCGACTCTGGCTTTGTCTCTCCGACTCCGGCTCCTATGCTTCCGACTCTGTCGCCCACCATTATGGTCACAGCTCCGCCCTCCGGCTACCATTTTTCCAACACCTGCTCCCATCTTTCCGACTCTGGCTCCGACTCTGGTGTTCACCTCTCCGATTGGTTTCCTCTTTCCGACTCCAGCTTCTATATGCTTGTGACTCTGGCTGCAGCCATGACTACAGCGCCGACTGGCTACATATCGACCAGGAAACAAAGACACCACACCATCTACGGCCCTCCATGCTGCGCTACGGCCCATCGGGGGCCGCAGCGCATACCACGCCAAAGCCCGAGCCGGAAGGCATGGTACACGCTTAACGAGGTCGGACCGTAATTCGGTTGGGTGGTGTTGTTTGTTTCGTGGTCCATCTCTTATGAGGAAAATCCTGGAGGCCTCGCGCGGCGCGTAATAGTTGTATGATATACTTTACCCATCAACTCCGCAAGCTATGGTCGCGGCGATGCTCCGTCGTCAGTCCGACGTAGATCCGACGTGAATCCGACGTAATTTCGACGAAGCCCGACGTGAACCCGACGTAAATCTGACGTGGATCCGACGTAGATCGGGTCTCAAAGTGCCGCGCGAGGCCTTCAGGATTTTCCTTCACAACTCTAGTTGCCGCATCTGTCCGACTCCGGCTTCAGGTGCTGCCCCTCTGGCTCCGGCTCCTCCTATGCCTGGCCCACATCACTCTGACAACCTACATTATTACCAATGAGCGGGCGGCTGGCCTCGCTCGATGTTATACAGGAGGGGAAAACAGACACAAATATTCGTCGATCCTCAGGAACATATAGGAGAATATGGGAAGTGTGGGGAAGATGTCGACAAATATTGGGCATCCTGGGACTTGTGTCTATTTGTTTGTGTATCCCTGGGCCCCCTTGATTATCCTCCTCTTTTTTTCTCCCTTCCTCCTCCAAGTATGTGCTCTGTAGCGTCCCAGTGTGTCACCTTATTCTCGCACGCCAGCGCTTTTCCTGGAAGCTTCGGCCTCACCCTGCAGCACCCCCGCGGTGCTAGACGCAGGCCGTGTCCGTAGGTCCGTGTCCGTGTTGGGCTCCAGTGGGGTAGTCTTGGGGATTCCTTGGGGTCTCTTGGGCCGTCTTGGGTCCTTCTGGAGGCCCTCTTGGGCCAGCTTGGGGCTCTTGGGGCCGTCCTTT